TTCTTGCTAGCCACCGTGCCGTCTGCATCGCCATGACGTAGTGTCTGCTTCCGGAGATAGCCGCGGAGGCATGTGTGCCAGTGTATGTATGCTGTAGACGAGACAGTTTCACAGTCGCCACAAGATGGGCACTTCTTTTTCTCTGTTTGCCTAAAGATAAAAAAAAAAAAAACTGAGCAAAAACTTGGCGCTGCTTCGGAGGAGCTTGGAAGGGCAACCGAACGTAACAGAACTTCGTACGCCTTCTTCGAGTGATGCAAGTCGGCACTAAATAATCGTATCTTGAAATGGCAAGGTACGTTGTTTCACAGGGTTTTTTTAGTAGCCACGGTACCGAATCCCGGCCGCGGCAGTCCCATTTAGATGGAGGCAACATGCCGGAGGCCAAAGTTAAAGAATCCCGAGGGCCGAAATTTCCATGACGTATCTCATAATCATGCCGTAACTTTGAGACGTGACGTCCTCCACTTATTATTATACTATTATGTTGTTGTAGTTATTCTTTCCGTTGTGGTTTTGTAATCTCCACTTAATACTCAAGAGATACCTTTTACGACTTAGCAACGTCAGGCGAAGTTTACAACTCCTCCATTTTATGAAAGCATGACGAGTCGTGTTGAATTGTTGCTGGCTTACTCGATGCAGCTCAAAGATATATACGGAGAGCCACATGTGAAAAAATTTGGCAGATCCCACGTACCTGGGAAACGACGCTATGCGAAGCGTGTGGAGGGAAGGTGACCATGTTGCATTTTTTTTATTGAGCGACAGGTCATGAAATGATGCTAAATATATGTACAAATATTGAACGCATAGACATATGTTGAAGAGTTGCAGATGTTTATATAAACAGTTGTTTTCACTTGTGCAACGATGTCCACTGAAACATGCGTATTAGCAACACCAGAAGCTGATATGAAGTGCTGATGCTCGCGAGGATGCTGGTTCTGGACACTGCTTCATAAATCAACTTCAGCGCATGGCACCTAACCACAAGTGACGTTAACCAGACTCGAAGGCTGTATCGAAGGAGTACATATGTAATGTTTATAAAATTTGGTAGGCAGCACTGCAACCACTATTGGCGTTTCACGAAGATTAGCGTCTATTTGAAAAGTAGTTCCGAGACCTGGCGTAGCTCAGTGGTTGAATGCTTGACTGCCACGCAGAATGCTTAGGTTTGATTCCGGCTGGGACCCTAAATTTATTCTTTGCATTCGTCGGGGGATCAACGCTGCCTATGTCAGCTTTAACACTGACATTTATTCTATGCCTTCGTTGGGTCGACACCACCGATGTCGGGTATTGCTTAACGCCCATGCGTTAAAATTGTCCATGTGTGTTCTCGTCGTTCCTGGGTAGAGACTAATTGGCTATCACCTGTGGCACATACATACCCGCATACCAGCGGCACGTACCCGCCCGTGCGTATGTGCCACTGTCTGGCGGGACGTGTTTGACGACGTACGCGACGGGATTGTGGCATATTCGTGTTTTGACCAGCGCGCCATATTCGTCAAACCATGTTACCTTCCCATGCTGATTGTGGTTCACTCCAAGTTAAGGGCGTGACCACGAGAGCAACCAAACGTAAGCGGCTAGATAGATAGATAGATAGATAGATAGATAGATAGATAGATAGATAGATAGATAGATAGATAGATAGATAGATAGATAGATAGATAGATACGCTCAATGTCACCGATGTTCGCTAAGAAATGCTTCCCATTTAAAAACTCCCAAGCCTTTCCCCGAGGGTGAAGATGGTTAAGTGCGAATATACGGGGTGATGCTATGAGGGGTATTTATTAATTCGCACTATTATATTTATTAATCACACTATGGTGCCTTTATGGTGTAATGGTTCCTGGGAATCGCAATTTGATCACACGGGGAGTTTACGTTAACTCACTGGCGAATGCCAACGGATTTTAACTTTACTCCCCCTCACGACCCGCTCTCGACGGGAGACTGAGAGAGAAGGCGGGCGCGCGAGAGAGAGGGGTGCGCGCGCAGCTGCAGCGAGCGAGGAGAGCGGAGGAGCGAGCGAAGGGGGAGGGGGTATAAGGCGCGTTACTGACACCGATATCAGCGTCGCGTCCGTGGCTTATTCGGTAGAGCGTCGCGCTGCGGCCCGCCAAGTCCTCTTTCTTTTAAAGAGAGAGAGATGACTGCGGACGCCGCCGACGGCGGTGGATGGTTTGGGGTCGCTTATAAAGTGTATTCAGAATACACTTAATAGTATTTTGTCTTTATAGTATTTGTTTATGCGTAAGCTTGCCCGGTAAGGAGCTCATAGACCGCAGCTGTTTTAGGGACAATTTGTCTCGCACTGCATGCTATGACGATGCGTTAAAGTCGACTTCCATTTTCGACAATATTTTTTGATATCACCTTCGTGCACTTGGTTCCATGACGGCAACATTCGAATGCGTACAAAATTTATCCGCTTTTATGGAACCGTTGCAGTAGTCGACAAACGGGAACAACGAAATTGGTGGTGACTGTGTCGGAAACCGCAGCGACCATAGGTGTGTGCACGGAGAGGCGGGAAGAGGAGGGGGAGAGGCAGAGTTGCAGCTACTTTCCCTCTCATCACCCCAGTCACATGAGAGGAAGGGGGGTGCAAAGTCTGCGCCATACGTTGACTTAATACGAAGGGAAGGGGCACTCCGATGAATTTTCTCCTCCTCACCCTCCTGAAGAACCCTCTGCACGCCTATGGTAACGACTGCTAGCTTAAGTTGTTACAAAGAAGCAACGTAGTTGTTTCCTGCCGTATTTAGTGAAACTTTTTATGAAATCCTTTGAGGTGTCACTCATTGGTCATCATTTCATCATCATCATTTATTTTCCCTTAAGGGCCCCTGACGTTGTATTACATAGGGGGGGGGGGGGAGGTTGAACAAGGATACGCAAAGGCAATTCCAGACCGAGAACATAAAGTAGATTAAAATTCATGAATTGGAATTACAGGGTAATAATAAAAACAGAACTCGTTATACAACTAATAGCATGATTTAAAAAAATGAGAGAAAGGCAACTGTCTACACAGAAATTACTACGGTATACGGTTGTAAAATGAGTTTCTAGTAAGGTTTTAAACTTCACAGTATTTCGTTCGTTGGCTATTGCATGTGGAAGCCGATTCCAATCCTCAATTGTTAACGGGAGGAAAGATTTGTTAACTTAAAAGCGTTGGTTGAACCTTTTAAATTTTGGACACTCAAAGAATTGAAGAGACGGCGCGAAGGTCGAAATGGTTTACGCATCTTCGCTGGTACGGAGCGAAACGATCCAGAAGAAGGGTATTTGAAACTGGCGCCAGCTTTCTCGCCTTCTTTTGCGAGACCCAAATAAGATGGCGTCAGCATGCTGGTATAGTGGATTGTCTTTCTTTGCTGTAGCACGCTATCCAGGGACCCTCGTGTCACTGCAAGTGCCGATCTTGGAGCTTGTGCAAAGTTAAGGATAGTAACCTTGACGGTACCTAGAGGGCGCTACGTTTCCTCATATTGCGAGGAGCTTGCTTTATGTTCGTAGGTGTTCTGTGGCGCGACTTCTAAATGTTCCCGAATAATATTTTTAAAAGTTGCTCAGGATATTTTTGATGCTGTTTTATAGTCATATTCGATGCTGTTTTATTCCATTTATTCGTCATAATGATACCAAATTTACTTATGTAAAGAAAGCATCACATTCTTACATTGGTGGCCAACTACCCTGTATCACGCTGACGTTATTCTTTCTCCTACTGAAACTCTGTCCACGTTTTTCATTAAAATGTGCGATAAGCGTGCGTACGGGAGGTGCAGGGGGCGCCCCCCCCCCCCCCCATTCATGTCACCTAATTAGGGGGGAAGTCATGGGTCGCTAAGCCTACCAGGTACATTGCACCTTCGCCTCAAGACCCCAGATATTTTTTTAGGAAAGTAGCGTCTATCTTTTAACCAAGCCGCCACGCCTCACAACCACTTCTCTCGGGCCGCCAGCCGAGAAAGGTCACAAACATCGCGCGTGTTATCAGCGTGACATGACATTCTCGATAGGAAAGTGGCGCGAACCGAGTTATATGGGCAGGCGCCTGCGCGGTGGTCGTTTGGGAGAAGATATAGATAAGGTTCGGACACTTGGGAGAGGAGTGTTAGACACTTAGAGAGGATCTGGAGGAGAGTGTCGATACTTTATACTTACCTTTCCCCCTCCTTAACTGGCTAACCTCCCTGTCCTTCCTCATTTATTCCTCCTCCTCCTCTTTTCTCCTCCCCCCCCCCCCCCCTCCTTGAGTGTGGACCCCGAATGAAAGGGGCCCAGCGACACTTCTGAATTGTCAGCAAACGCTGCCGATCGGTGGTCAAAGATACGGGAAACACGCGAGACAAACATAGTGCAGCAAGCAGCCTGCAATTTTCAATCAGTTCTCAAAGTCAACTACACATTGATCCCCCTCCGTTCTACAAATGATGCCACATTCCCAAATGATCGCGCTGTATATTCAAATTCAATTAGCTGATTTGAGCCTCGCGAGCTACATAGCTAGCGTGGCCTCCGCGAGAGGCCGCCACGTGCTCGCGCGTGTTGGGCTGTTATGAACTTTTCGTTCGCCCATTTCTTCATTTTTTTTAAATCTTCTGCTAATTTGTTCACTGTTTTACACGTCATATTATGGTACTGACGTGAAATTGTGCGTGCAATTTATTGGGTAAATATGCAGGTGATTACAGATGGTCAATGCGAAACATTTTCACGACAAAATGCTGAAAAGAATTCTTTTTTTAAATTTTCTCTTAATATACACAACGTTTGCTACAGCCAGCGCAGGTCAATCACTTTCTTTTTCTCGTTGAAGGAAGTAAGGTTTCATAAAGTGCGTCTGCTTTAATTAAGAACGAAGGGCCCACTAACGTGAGCACACATTTTTAACGTGTTTATATACCAATCATAGGCAACTTTCATGAACACTTCAGTGTTCTTTTTTTTAACGCAACAGAAGCCATAAACACGATAGATGACGACTTTAATGAGGAGCTGGAAATCCACGCAAAGGCACAAGGTACATCCACAGTATGATTTGATGACGTGTTCCAAGGCAGACTAACATAATATGCAGTCTTCTTTTTTCACACTATAGCACACTTTCTAAAGCAGTCGAGCTCTGCACTGATCACAAGCGCCCGCAGCACTCTACTCACGAAAGGGCCGGAGTCATTTCATTGGTCTCGTAGTTCTATAAATAACTGATACTGCACGTAGCCGTTCGCTCAATCGATCGCGCCATTCTGAGACGTTTCAGCGTCAAGAAAGGCTTCCTGGATTATAAACGCTTGAGCAATCTTTTTCGTGGGGATGAAATGTAAGCGCCTGTCGGAATATCGGCAACGGGACTGATGATCAGATTGTCACACAAACATATGCTTGTGCCGCTAAATGACCTGCTAGTTATGTGCACGGACTAACGTGTACAAAGCTCCGCGACGACCGTGTCTCACAAGTCACATCAGTCCACCCTTGTTTACCGCTATCTTAATTTCATGTACTTCTCTACAAGGAATAATGACAGATGCAATCTTAAGAGACAAGAAAACAGATTGGGTCAGAGTACACGCGGGTGTTAAGAAGATCCTAATTAGCCTAAATCAAGAATAAATGGGCAGGATATGTAGCGAGTAGGCAAAGTAACCCTTGGTCATTAGGAGTAACAGGCTGGATTTCAAGAGAAGGCAAGCGTACGAGAGGGAAGAAGAAATTTGGATGGGCAGATGATATTAAGAAGCTTGCGGGGATAAAGTAGCCGCATCAAGTACGGGAATGTGTTGATTGGCAAAACACGGCATAAGTCACGTGGGAGGAGGCGTTACCCTGCAGTGGGCGTGGTCGGGCTGATGGAGACGATGATGACGTAATATCCTGCTCGTTAAAACGTTCTCGTGACAAATCAATAACACGCACTGTCTTTCGCATGACGCCCACTAAAACAAATCCTTGGGCACTCTTGCTATACTCTTATGCGGAAAGTGGTTCCAGTGTTGGGGACTACCGACGTGACTTGAAAAATCTGACATTTAACTACAGTTATAGGAAGTAAGAAATAATGAATCGTTTCTTGTGACACGGCAGAGGAAGCAGTATCGATGGCGCCGCACCCCTTGCAATTTGTAAACTAGCTTCTGATGGGCGCGTTGGTGAATATTACGTACTCTGGTGAGCGATGTCGTGAACGTGCCTGCTTATGGTGTCTTAGCTATCACGGCAGTTTCAGTTCATAGTCGAAGGTTCCACGCAAGCCCAGCTGCTGAAGTACGGTGGGCAGTCATCCATTTCTAGTCACACATTTCCTAGTCGCACACATCTGTTCAACAGCTCAGCTTACTGTTGAAGCTGCTCCCGTTCAAACGTCTCTAAAAGCAGGTACACACGCGCGTATTGACGCAGTAGCTCCGGGTTCTCTTCCTCCAATGGATTAGTGAAGTACTGACTCTTCTTAACTCGGCAAGAAGGGTGACTTTCTGGCACGAGAAGGAAATGTCTTTCGCTCGTCGTTTCCTTATTCTACCTCACTATTATGGCCAATGAATCATTAAGAAGCTCCCGTTACACTCCACAACGAAACACGCGTACCACCTCGCAGCTTGTAAGATACCATCATCGGGCTTCACCGGAGGACAAAGCAATCCGTATGGTCACACTACCCGTCCACGCCATGGCGTCGAACACGGAGCACTCCCGAAGCAGGCGCGTAACTTTGTTGCGCAACCTGCAGCCATTTAACGTGTCTCACGTCCGTCAGAGAAGCTACGTCACAAGTAGGCACGCTGCGAAAGCGGAAAGCCCTGCGAGCGTCATCGCAAGCAGAGCAAGAGAATGCCATTGGGCCCCACCCATCCGGCTCACGAACTTGCGTCCTTGTAGTTGGCACTATATGTGTCCATGGAGAAGCCATACAAGGGTTGTCACAAAGGGAGCCAAGGCTTCCGTTCGGTCAGATCCACTGGCGTTGTGACGCCTTCCTCCATACGTCATAAACGGGACGTCATAGGGCACTATCTTGCGGAAGCACGAACGTCCTGCGAGCGTCATATCAGGGAGAGAGTAAGCGAATTACTTCGGGCCACATCCTTCTGGCTCGCGAACTGACGTCGTACAAACTTGCACTACGGGAGTTTAAACGTCATACGAAGTTGGTCACGAACGGAGTTGAGAGTTCCGCCATGTCAGATCCGCTTGCCTTCTGACGTCGTCTTCCTTCAAGTCGCGTCTGACTAGCGCATTGAGTGACGTCCTAGAAGGGTGTAAGGACGTCGTCACGGAGGAACGACTTTCATTAAGTCCGATTCGCTAGTGTCGTGACGTAATCACTGCGCGCACTCCGGGAACGGGAAAGTCCTCCTCGCGTCTTCGTACGAAGGCGGCGGAGTGGCACCGGTGCCCTGCGTGAAGACGCCCTGCTGCGTGGCCGCCCATATGGTCCAGGGGACCTTGACGACGTCGTCGTATGAAGGAGGCTGCGCGGGACAGGCGTCCGTGCCTTCGGTGTCTTGCTCGAAGGCACCGTTGTGGCGCGACGCGGCGCTGGCGTTGCGCTGCTGTTGCCTGTTAGCCGGAGAGTCCGGGTCCTCGGTGTCGCTCTTGCGCGTCACGTAGGCGAAACCAAGCAGCAGGACAAGCAAGGCAGTGACCACCAGGGCCACCAGCAGGAAAGGGTTCACCGATCTCACTGCGTCTGCAAGCGTAAAAGATAAAGGCGAAACGGGGTTAGTTCAGTTCAGTTCGCATCACTTTCAAAACGGCCACGCTAGACGAGGGCATTTCATTTCTTGTATACATCAGTTGCAAAGGTGTGAAATCTAGCGCGACGCCTAGCAAAAAGTTCGTTTGCACCAAGAAATAGGTCAACGATTGTGCCACCCGTGGTTTTAGCTTTTAGGCTGAGTTGAAAGTGATGTATACAAGAAATGAAATGCCCTCGTCTAGCGTGGCCGTTTTGAAAGTGATGCTCGACCTAGACCTTTCAGAGAGATCTCTGTGGATAAAAAAAAGCCTTTTTTTTTTGCTGTCATGGCACTGGCGTGTAGTTTTGATAACCCCATGAAATGCCAAACGAACAAATCTCTCTTGAGTTTTTATTTGTGTAATTGCCTTAAAGGCCCCCATTTCTCGGAGGGACTTAAGCTCCTATACCAATAGGACAGACGACTTTTCAAAACGACATGCGCAAAAGTGACCATTTTATACACAGATGAACCGAAAGAGTAGGCAAAGTAATGTGATGTACACCCTTTCAATTTTTACCAATATCGCGCCAACGTTCACCACTGGTTATGGTAACGCCAATATGGCGAGCAGTAACGAGACTCCCTATAGATGATGCGCATGCGCGGAGAGCACAATCGCGCGTGAGCGCCCTCTTGTGAGTTCTTTGCTTAAAGATGCACGCACAGTATCAGCCTTGCGTGAGCGATCATGTGTTCATAAAGCTGACGGGCGCTTATCTCGCTACGTGTTCTCTATATCAGAGAATAAACCGTATATATCGTCGGGTCTGTGCTCGCGCGACGTTATTAGCAAATAAAATTTTAAGGGTGTATATTTCGTGCGCTGTATACATTGTACTGTAGCCGTTTATAAACTACGTGCGACCGTGAAAACCAATCCACTGTCACAAGGTATCAGTTTTCTTTCTTATCTGGAGGAACTTCCGGATATCATGGTCCACCATTAAGACATCAACTTCGTCACTGAACTATGCATCTAATTGCCGTTATCAACACAACGAAGTCATGCTTAGGCGCATGACTTGTAGTTAACTGCACTTGCATTACAAGCTGCAAACGGTGCGTAGGGTGTGTCGTCCTACTGTTTCATATGGTCCAACGCGTTCGTAGCGGTTGTGGTTCTCGGCTTCTAACCCGAAGGTTGCAGGTTCGACCCTGGCCCGGTCGCATTTCGATGGAGGCGAAATGTCAGAGGCACGTGTGCTGGGCAATGGCAGTGCACCTTAAGTAACACTAGGTGTTGGAAACTTTCACACAGGTTTTGTAACTTTTGAACCCAGCAATTACTGTTACAAATTTCCGGAGCCCCCTCATAACGATATCGTGGTTTTGGCACGTAAACCACCGGGCATTATTATTGTTTGCTTTGGAATGTATCGGTCCATCTTCCTTATTTTCCGTAAGCCCCGCGCCTGAGAGTTACGATCGATATGTTCTTTCGGCTGGACTGTCTCTTGCAGCAACGGAAGCGGGCGGTTTTCGACATTTCAGCAGGATCGTTTCACCGTGCATTCACCATTCAGCCGCTTGTTCCAAGACGCGCGACAAAAACCGCTCGTTAGCCATGCCGCGATGACGTATGCACCGCCTCGCGACAGCGCCTTTCTGTGGCTGCGAGGCGACTCATTTTATTGCGTGATCAGCTCTATGCCGGACGGCCAACACGGCGCACCATGCATGGGCGGGCCGGACATACAGGCCCGTATTCACAAACCAACCTCAACCTTACTACGAGTTTTGCTCATCGGTTTTAAGCCGTTATTGCGCTTGCTGAGAAAAGTAGGCTAGTATATACATGAACAAATCTCGTCGCTATATTTTACCGTGTTACCACTACTGTGCGCTTATAACGCACGTAGAGAGTACAGAAACTTGAGGAAAACGTGAGGAAAACGTGAGGAAAGGCCAAGGTTGGTTTGTGAGTATGGGCCACAGTGTCTGCATGATGCGCTTGTCTGATAACACAGTGTCTGATAACCCCATGAAATGCCAAACGAACAAATCTCTCTTGAGAATTTATTTGTGCAATTGTGATCTTGACACTGAGGCACCTGCCTGGAGCCGAGTTTTGGTGTGAAAAATTGTTTGGGTCACCTAATAATTTCGGCGCACTGGAATAAATTACATTTAACGCCGCGTCACAAATTATTTATTAGTTGAGAACAATACCTCGTAGTCCAAATGCAACAAACTTGACTAAAACCACGCTGTCGTGTTTTTAACTAGTAAGAAATCTTCAACAAGTTATAACTAGCATATAGCAAATAGCTGCTGTTAACTATTCAAAATTGATAACTGATCTAACCAGTATCGCATCAGTTGCTTTCTTAATATTTTTCTGCGAATGTCAACGATGTAGCGATATAGTTGAAGAAATTCTTACTTTCCGCGAAGTCGAATGGTTCTTTTTGGATTCGCATTAAGCGTTTACATTTTCGCTGCAAACAACTTTTCATAGCTGAAGCCACCTATGCAAATAATGTGCGGGATTTTTTTTCACGCGTTTTCTCGTTTACCAAGCGTCGTTCTCGCGATTGTGAAATTGGCCCCGCCACAGTGGTCTAGTGGCTAAGGTACACGGCTGCTGACCCGCAGGTCGCGGGTTCGTATCCCGGCTGCGGCGGCTGCATTTCCGATGGAGGCGGAAATGTTGTAGGCCCGTGTACTCAGATTTGGGTGCACGTTAAAGAACCCCAGGTGGTCTAAATTTCTGGAGCCCTCCACTACGGCGTCTCTCATAATCATATAGTGGTTTTGGGACGTTAAACCCCACATATCAATCAATCAACACCAGATACCACGGTGACAGCTGCTCTTCTAGACTAACATTCAATTAGTGCTAATTGTAAACGTGCGCGTTTACAACACACATGCGGGACTTTGCAGTATATAATTAAATGTGACTATTACTATGAAAACTGCACATGTCGGGGTGCTTGAACGTGCCCGTTTCCCCACGAATCTGCCACAATTGCCGTATGTAACTGAAATCAGCTGCTGCTGATGCGAAGTTACTTTTAGTTGGCAAACGTTCTTAAAATTGTTCAAGATGTAAAACACATTTTTTATCACTGATACAGCAAGTGGAAATGTACTAACGAGAAATTGGCATCTTCGTCGAGTTGGTGACCACGAACAGCGATGGCTCCTCGATGTCGTACCCCCTCGTGACGTACTCCACCACCTCTATGACGTACTGCGGCGGCTGCCGCGAGAGGTCACCGTGTTCTACTTCCGTCGGCGTCGGCTCACCGATCGTCATGCACGTCGTCCCATGCGCGGTCCACAGCAGCAGCAGGGAGGCCGCGACTGCAGGTGAAGCCATTGCAGTGCTTAGTGCGCTCATGGCTGCTTCTAGCTCGTGGAGATGTCTCAGCCGAGGATACTGCGACAAACGAAAGAAGCGAGAAATGACTACCTTTAGTGATCAGCTATCTTCATTACCTTCATATAGCCAACAATAGTACATTAGCCGACGGCAGCCAAGAGAGGTGATATTATGTGAATTGTTTCGTAGACTTTATAAAGCGGCACAACAAGGTCAAGGTATGAGGGCAGGCACCCCCCTCCAGCCCCCTTTATATGATAATGGGGGATGCACTTCCCCCTTATCCTGGTTCTTTCTATTGATCTGCTTCCTCCACTTTACCAGGTGAAGTATTATGGGCGCTCCACAACGCCATACAGCAGTGGAGTCATGAGGACGCTATAGACATTGACAACGTCGAAAACTGACCATGAAAGACTTACTATTCTTACAGAACACCTTAGTAAAAAAAAGATACGCCAACGTAATAGCAAGTAAGTTTCGCTGATTAGGCAAATGGCCGGTAGGAGCCGCAGAGCGTTGAGAATGTAACGCACCGCATGAGTTTACGCGTAATATTACAACGAAAAAGCATACAGCTGCTACCAGCCCTATGCATGCACTAAAGCTCTCGATAACTCACGCTTCCGGCGCGTCTCCTTCGCCTTATCGCTGCTCCGTTCTCCCTTTACGTACTTTTTGGCGCCAACACACGACGGATTGCGAAAGCTGTCGACACGAGCGTCTCGTAAAACACGGTACATTGTATCTTTCTTGCCGCGCACTGCGCAATTCAGTATGCATTGTATGTCACAGGAGCTTTGAAAGGCGAAATGCACTCGCAAGAAAGGTTATGTAAACAAAAAAAAATCGCGCAAGACGTGATCAGGTTGTCGTCTACGTATATGTGGGTAACACCCTGGGTCGAGCGCACGAGCTCATGCTATGGAACGGCCACCGGGCAGTAGAGCTTGGGCCTGAGGACAGTAAAGTTCACTTTTCATGCTCTTCCTCTGTCTGCTTTCCGAGGGCTCCAGCCGACCATTGTGTAGGGAGAACACTATTACCGTTTTACAAGAGTTTCGTCGTATACAGGGCCGCGGATAACTCGCCGAAACGGGAACCTCCGAGATCAAGAGGCGTCTGTCACGACCTTTCCTGTAGGGAAAGGGTGAATGAGCCATCTGGAGGCGGACTGGATTGACATCACGGCCCTCTTTTAACATACAAATCACGCGGGGCCGACCTGAGTATACTCTAAAGTGGTCCAGGATCTTTCGCGACAGCTGTGACCATTCATGACTGTCCAGTTAAATGTGCTGGAGAGTAAAAAAAAAAAGAGACACCAGTGTGAAATCTTCACGAAATGTTTAAACTACGAAAATTAAAGACCTACATGGCAGTTAAATAGACTTATATGTTCTAACGATATGGTCTAATTAGAACAATATGGTCACCCGGGTTAGACCAGACACAAGGACAAGCGCAGTGCCGGGTCTATGTGCTCGTTAGTTTACGCAGTTCCATTGTGAAGGTGCACCAACTCGCCCGACATCAAGTTCTCCTAATCGATCGTAAAACTCACCTATCGTCAGCGTTATCGACGATTTGTGACGTCACCTCTTCTCATGCCGCCGCACAACCATGTGAACCATATAGTTCATAATTTCAGTGCCTATTCCTGCCTCACTGTACGCGCGTACAGGCACGCGCATTATTTTTAAATCGGTTCCTACTCAGCTTCTACCCGATCTCATTTTCCGAGCTAACGAACGCAGCTGCGGCCACGACCCGTTGCAGCTGTTGTATTGCGACCACGTGCACAACGACAGCGCATGTATATACGTCGTAGTGAACGTATACCCTGTTGCTAAGTGCACCACGAGTTGTATAGTGACGCAAGGTCGTGGCGCGTAGTTATTGGTGACGTCACTGCCCGCCTTTCAAACCACGTGTCACAATGTGTAACCTTGAAACACTTTTTTTTTTCTGCTTCATGCGTGGGGTTTTTCTGCAGCTGCTGTTCTTACCGAACATATTTCCGCTCCTATTTCTTTTTTTATTTCATTCGTTTTAACGAGAATTTCGACATTTTCCCACCGTGTACAGAACGAATCGGAAATCTGATGGAATATGCGCGTGGGTGTTGGGCAACTCCGCGACAGCCACGCAGATGTGAGTTCACCGCGGGCTACTGAAACGATTTCCTGTAATTCCTGCATGGCGACGTAAAACTCCATCAAGCACTTGTAATTGAGTTGCGCAGAGGAAACTGTTACAGCAAATGGACCGGGAGCACCTGTTGCGCATCGCGTGTGGTTACGTAAATCTTGAGGTGTACGCGATACGGCATGCGGATGGCAATTAAGAGGGACCGAATAGATCTGAGCTCCAGCTGGTACGGGATGGCCCAGCTGCGTTGCTGTGCGAGATGTAATACCTTTGCGAAGTGTGGATGGCTGATTGTGCAAGAAAAGTCTCTGGGTATATACATTATGCTCGGAGAGACAAGAACAGCTCGCATATTTCTTCGAGATTAACTTTCGCGAATGACACGGCATGTAGTAATGCCAAGCGTCAGCATCTATCATGCGCAGCTGTTCTCTGCGCACTCTCTCCTCTTACATGATAATGTGCCCTTCAGTTTAGTTCAGACTGCGATTCTTGCAAACGCGAATAGTCGGAACACCAGTCACTGCTGTTTGTTCTTGCCGCATGGCCTCGCTCATGAAAATTTTCATTATTAAAAGCGCAGTGACAACTGTATCAGATTCAGATCAATGTCCGCGTTATTTAATATTCTATGTACGTACTAGCGACCTCACCAACGGCCCCAACTGCGCGGTCTGTTTTTCGTTTCTCGTAACCTCGGTTCCGCGATCCTCTATAGTCTAACAAATTTATGAAACCTTTATCGAGGCCTTAGCTTGAATATGCGTGCTTGATTTAGAACCCTGACCAGTCGGAACTGCCCGATAGGATTGAGTTGGTTTGCAACATGCTACCGATTTCAATTTTTAATTTGTCACATTACACCGCTATGACATTGAAACGAAACATACTGTTACACATAGCTTCATGCCCAGTGGCCACGTCTGGTCCACGAAATCTGTAATTGGACTCTCTTATTCTTGGCCATGGAATGTTGGCCATGGATTGTTATACTTAGCTGGTGTTACTCGCCAGCTCATGAACATGATCAATCCAAAGTTACTGTTTCATCTCGTCGAAATACTCGCTTCCAACTCATACACCCCAAGGGTGAGAACTAGAGGAGCTGCCCTCCTTCCTCCATCGGTGCCGTATCTCACGCCCCTAGTATCAAGAAAACAGCGACCAACTATTGCCGCTTCTCATTGTAATACTCTTGAGGCCCGAGAGCATGTAAATGAATCGTTATTAAAAATCTGTTCACGAAACAAGCATCACAAACGTGCTTCATTAACGCGACATCGCGTCACACTTACAACGTCAATAAAAGAAAGCCTCCTTCAGCAATGCGGGAGGATTCTACGGAACTGATTTGCAATATTTTGCGCCCATGTGGTTCGCGTTTCCCTTCGCGCTGCCAATCGCTAGCGCGCTGGTTAGCTCAATTGGTAGAGCGAACGCCCTCTAAAGGCGCTGGCTTCGAGTTCAGTTTCTAGACCCGGACGATTTTTTTTTGTTTTTGAGAAATCCGTATGGATTTCCTTGTGACTTCGTGCTACACACGAGTGGCTGTCAGTTGTTCCTTTCGTAACCCTTCCGCCACCATTCCGGATTCTTCAGAACTCATTTGCATATTCCGAAATATAGTTTTTATTTTTTATACGAACACCCAGCAAAATCCAAATGTCACTAGCAATGAACTTATGTAGACGGAAGCTATAAGTGCATATAGATGAACCTTCATATCTTTTTTTTTATTACGAAAGCTGTTATGAGAACACAACACGGTTCACGTGCACGCCGTAATTGCCCGCCGCCGCCGGTGTCCGTAGCCACTGTCGCACGAAATCAGAAGAAAAAATATTGCTCAGTAAATAAAGGACACCGAGAGTAAATGGGATTCTAACCCGGGTCCCTGCGTGCCAGCCCAGCATTCTACCGCTACGCCACGCTGGCGCTTGGAACATCTTTTCAAACTGGCTCCATGCAGGCTTCATGTCGGCAAAGGAATCGCGTTAATATGAGTAATAAAGCGTTTTAGCACAGCAAAGGACCAACCAGATGTCGCATAGTGCGAATTGTGCAATGAGTGGGGCATCGAATGATTCAACCCTTTGCAAAAACCTTGATCTTGTTCACCTATTAACTGTGGCGCATAGCCACTGTGGGAGATTTTAGGGATTACAATATCTTTCGAAGGAATTCTTCATCGTAGTCTGCTGCATAGCACAAAAAAAAAAGAAATTGCACAAAGTTCCTTGTAAGTGTGCAGGGGGTAGCACCGCTTCTCCAAAGGATGGCGCAGTGGTTAACCTGCAAGTCTGCTTGTAACAGCTACCCAAAGAGTTAGAAAAAAAAAAAAAGGCGCTAAAAGGCCGTTTTTTCCAGCTTTTTTTTTTTCGCCGGGACAATGCTGCGCGGTTCACACAGGCCTGGCAGTTTTTTTGTTTTTTTTTTCACCAGACTTTATCATGGTCGCCGACGTGTGCGCATAGCCGATATATTCGTCGACATAATTACGCCCAATCTGATTGAATCCGCCGCTAGACGAAGTACAAACTTTGTTTCACCTGTATTGCATCAGCCGATTCGATTCCGCGCCTGCACTTTCTATCTCCGCTTATTCTTTCGCTGTCGGCCATCAATTGCCGCGGGCCCTCTATTCGCATTTCCTCGGTATACCACTCGTGTTTCTCTTATCATTATCAACCGTTATCAATCGTCTGTTTCTTGTTTTACCTCATGCCCTCCGCCTAGTAATCGCTCTTACGCGCTAATTCTCACTTCCGTCTTCCTATCTCTTTATAGCCTTGAGCAGCGTTTTCTTCCAGGGGCTGGGAAGAGGGGGGGGGGGTAGCTTAAGGTTCGTCACGTGCCCCCTCCCTAACATGTCAATGTATGGGGTTGACTTATTGTATCATTCTCAGGAGTCGTGGACAAGATACCATGTGCTGATTGCCACGAAGTGTACGTTGGCGAAACAGGAAAGTTCACCCGAACCTCAAGCAGCACAAGCGTGTTGTCACTAACAAGTCACGTGACAAATGCTATTGTTGAGCATGCGCATAAACATAATCACGCCATTGACTGGGGCAATGCCGCTGTCATCGTCAAGGAAAAGAACACGTCATCCCGTCGGCTCATAAAATCTCTAATTATCCAGTCAACAACCAATATAGAACAGCAAACACAGTTCCTGTTATCTACGCACGCTTGTTGCGTCTCCCACCGGCTTTACAATTGACGACTACTAGCCCAGCTCAGTGAACAAACAACCCTTATGCGGTTCCGAAGTGTCAGATCATCATCATACTTGGTCAGTGTCCATGTTTCATTTCACTGGTAGTCAGCGCCGCCTGTAGGTAGCAACGATGGCGAGTGTGGAACACCCTGCCAAAATTTTTTTGTATAAGAACTCCCAGGGTCCTTTACTCATTTTACCACGACGACTTCTGTGCGAAAACGTTATTTTTCTTCTGTGTGGATGTATCCCGCCTTCCCCATCCCTCTGAACGCTGCTGACGACGTGAAAGCAGCTTGACCTTGCCCTGGCTCCGCCGCGGTGTTCTAGTGGCTATAGGGTACTAGGCTGCTGACCCGCAGGTCGCGGGATCGAATTCCGGCTGCTGCGGCTGCACACATTTTCGATGGAGGCGAAAAGGCTGTAGGCCCTTGGCTCAGATTTGGGTGCACGTTAAAGAACCCTGGCTGGTCGAAATTTCTAGAGCCCTCCACTACGGCGTCTCTCATAATCATATGATGGTTTTGGGACGTTAAACCCCACATATCAATCAATCAACATTTTTTTTCTTCCCGTCACCTGTTTTTGCACGGCCCCCTTGATTAAATCACCTTCGATCAGGCGACGACGTCACGTGATGGCGTCATCACGTTACGCCACGAGTTGCGACTCCGTGGTTTCGCAAAGTTCATGGGTCAACTCGTCAGCTAGTTGGTTCAACGTATCTCAGGGAAACGGCGCGAAAGACCAGGACGATACAGGCACATACACATTACGCAACACACGAGGCGCTGAATGGAGATACGATTTCGCAACTTTTCATGACGTCATCGGGTGACGATTTTTTTATCACTCGTGTTGATAAATTCGCTGATATCACTCGTGTTGATTCCAATGGTTTTCGCTTTATTCGAGGTTCTCTTTAACGCAGCAACCGTTCTATTACCGCGGCCACGGCGGTCGAATTTCGACGGAAGCGAAATGTAATAACATCTGCATATAATCACACGTAAGTGCGTGTGTGATAGTGATCGCCAGTTTGTCGGAATCGATCCGGAGTTCCCAACTACGCCGTGCCTCATGATCATGCAGTGGTGTGGGCACGTTAGTACCCTCAATTTCAGATAACTCAGACTGATGGGTCCGTGGTCGCTTAGCGATTATCATCTGCAGGCACGTGATTGCTGGAGTGGACGCCATGTGAAGACGAAATGGAAACGTGCATCTCTAAGTGCCGATCTCTCGCCGAGTAACGGGAAACGCTTAGGCG